TTTAGAAGGAACTGTAATAAAAACACATACATTATGTTATCTTATATGCTGTTATTATACCATAATGTTTGTGTTATAATGTTATTCTGTACCTAAATGTATTCTAGTTGTGGTTGATAAATCAACTTCACCATCCTCATGTTGATATAATAGTTCACTGAATTAGCTCAGAGGACTTAAAGCATCAGCATTTCTGAGTAAAAGCAACGACTTCATACTCGGTGTAAGGTAGTATGAGTCATCGGTAACAGTGATCACTTCTGAACCAGTCACACTCCTCTGGTAAACTTCATTTTTTACCCCATATTCATCTTGTGTACCTGCTTTTCTATACTGCACTTTTATGTAATCAATGTAACCATCCAAATTGTTGTGTTTACACTTTATCTCACCACTATCGGGAACCTTGAATATTGAACAAAATAATGTATTTGAAGCTGTAAGCACTTTTTATACAAATAAATAATTGTCATACATGCGTATGCAATACATTGTGACAAGTTACATTTATAAAACTTAATAATTAGTTTTAAATAATCTGTGGAACTTAAGATTTATTGTCTAACTTATTAGGAGGGCACTGGCCTCGGATCGATATTACACTTTTTCACACTGGTTGGTGCTACCCAAATTTGTATAATATATTTCTAAAATCAAATTCATTCAATGAATGCATACCTGCACATGAACTTCAAGTTGTTTCAACTCGGGTGATAATATATTCTTAATCGCTGGTTTTTGTGGGGCTGTAATACAATTGAACTGTAAATGTATATTACACACCTGTCAAGTTACCGGAAGCTGTAATTATGCAGTATTGCATCATGATCATCCAACATATAGATTTGTATTAGGAAAAGCAAATTCAAAATACTGAATGATTACGTGATATGCCAGAATGACAAACAAGTTTCAAAGAAGTACATATCATTAATTAATTTCACTAATTGCTCAATACCCCAGATGGATGTATTAACATTGTATTGTATACATTTGTTCAAATGAATACAATGAAACATGTTTATTGAATTTTAACAATATACGCTGATTTAATAATCAGCATGTGGGCATATATATCTCTGCAGTTTCAGATGCATAATGGGAAAGAATATCAAATCGATTGGTCAAGCCATTTTTCACAAATGTTCACATACATGTGTATATTACCATGGAAATCTGGTATTTTCAATAATAAATATGAGGGTACAACAGAAGGAAAATTAGTTACAAATCTGTTATCCATACATGCTCATGCTACAAAAAAACCAACACATCTGATACACATCGCATACATATATGTGAATACAGTACTACATATGCTTTATCATTGTTTGTCTGCAACACATTTTGGAAGATGAAAAAAAAATTTGAAAGGTATCGTACAACATCCTATGTAGTCACAGGCGATTTGCATACCTGAAAGTGTCAAAAAACGTGAAATCTGACATCAAGTAATCCTTTAGACAAACATTGCTACGGTATATGTGCGACTGTATGCGCGTCTATATCCAAGCTTTCTGATGATGTATATCAATAACAGAAATATTCACCAAAAAGGATCATCAAAATGAGAAAAAGGAAAATATCGTCAAACAGGTACGCGAGGTTGTTATATCACAAAACACTTTCTTTTTCACCAGTATCCCCTACCATGAGCATACTGTTTATAACCTGCAAATGATACTGCTCAAACAATACACATCTCAAATAAACTATTCATGACACTGCCGTATGAAAAGCCAAACTGTTGTATGTCATTTCACCTTGACATTTAATTACAATACATTTTGAGTAATTAAAATGAGATTAATGTTAATGAATGATTCATAAGTTAATATTAATTTTCCAAAACAATTACACAAGTATAGGATTAAAAAAGTCCACATACTTGCACACAATGTAGTTTCTGTTATAGTTGTGTCTTTACTTCCTTCACCAAGTGGACCCGGTCTTTTAACAGTCACTGTAATTACATATTGAGTAGACCACTGTAATCCTGTGATGGTTGATGTGTATCTCATCTGAC